ATACATTGTTGAGATCGTACCACCGAATAAAAGTAAAATACCTTCGCTGTACCGTACCTATACCGCCTTCGGTCCGGTACCTAGCAGTTTATTCGTACTGAAATTTCATCTCGCTTTTTCTCTTTTATTTATACCCTCTCACCTTCTCTCGCTCTCGCTCGCTCTAGCTCTCTCGCGCTATATATATATATATATATTGAGAGAGAGAGCGCGCGAGCGAGAGAGAGTGAGAGAGAGAGGGGGAGAGAGAAATAAAAAAGAGAGAAAGCGAGATAAAAAGTAAAATAGAAATATAGAAATATGGTATATTTTATTTTAAAAGCAGTCTTTTTCGAGACATCATGTCTGTTCGTCGGGTTGCGGTATGAGACTTATTTATCACCTGTATCTGTTGCAAATGATTTCAAAATTACATTCGCCGTATATACGTAGGGCCCCTATGTTAAAGACGTATTACATCCATCAAAGCAACATTTATTAGGTTACCTAGATGTTATAGTATCATGTGATGCGAAACAGGACAAGTTAGTTGCAATTACATCCGCAGAATTGACTATACTTTCTTGTCGCGCAGTAATGGTGCGTGTCTGTGAATCGTAGAGCACACGTTATTACACGAGATATGAAAACACAGCGCGTCGGGCAAGCATAGTGCATAGCAGCATGTAGCAACTAATTCCCACACTGATTTGACGACGTGTACTCATAGATTTGCTTGATTGATGGACAGCAATCGAACATGGGGGCGCGCGCACACTCGCCGGCATATTGCTTGCGAATTCCCGAACGACCCACCCCCCTCCACCCCGCCTTCCCGCCTGACGTGCCTTAGCTCGTTATTTTCCGACAACCTCGAGTAATTAGAAAGTGCGTCTAATCGCGAGGTCTCACCCAATATCATGCTCGACTAATTCGGCGGGCGTGTATTGGCGCGTGATTCCGAGCGTTAGTTTGTCGGCCATGTTGGATTGCATTAGCTGTGCTATCTATAGAAATATTATACTAGGTAGACACGGTGTCTCTACAGCACCGTAGCCTGAGCAAATTTCTAGGGGGGGGGGCAAAATTTGAAATTCCTGACTCAACTATGTAATGATGAGCGACGGGCGCAGCTTTTGATCGACGTCCATGGTACCGTGGGGGTAGGTCTGAGACAAGGCTTTCACGGATAAGTGACCAAAAATGTTAGGGTTATTTACGATAATTATCTAAGCTTATTTTTTAATTTTGCTCCAAAATCTAGGAGCAGCTGCCCCCTCCCCCCCCCCAGTCTACGACCATGCTCTATATATTTCTATGGTGCTATCTATAGTGATGCAACTGTATAAACTATGTTTGCACGTCAGAGACTTAGTGTATCACTGACGTTTAATTAAAGAATTTATCAAGAATATGTTGAACCGAAGATGAAAAGGTTGTTATTATGAATCATTGTTATCATTATTTAAATTATAGTTATTTGTTGTCTTTACTATTATTTTATTTGTGATTATTTTGACTATTTGATAAATGATATTATTTTATTCATAATTGTTGATTAATGTTTCACTAGTGAAGTTTTTCTCGTATATCAACCAAATAACTTCGTCCTGGTCATAAAGTGTTTGAAAGTTGTTATTTTAATTATATGTTCATGCCACGAGCTCGGAAGAAAGATTTAGTTGCATTTAGCACTTAGATTAGATCAGAATGACTTAGAATATTTGTTAGTGTGTTGTATTTACTTCAATATTACTAAACAATTTATTTCTCGCAGTTTGCATTATATGTAATATGGCAAGGAACAGCATGATCGTAGAATAGGTCTTAACATCAATATCTATCAAATTAACATCTAACAATGCAATCATGGAAATGAAATGAGGGGGTTGATGAGTAGGTATAATAACCCTATAATGCACGCATACTATATAGGTAATTAAGTAGTATCATACTAGTAGTATCGTGAGCCATGGTCTCCATTGTGCCATGATGCAGTGTTGAGATCGTTAAATGCGAAGTGTTGGATAGAGATACGGTTGAGGTGTAAGACCTATTGACTAGGTGGACGGGGGGGCCGAGTCAGCGCGAGCGTACAGCGCATCGCGCGTTTCGAGC